CAGTTGTCTTTGGGTGATAATTGAAAATAGTGTTTATATTTCTAAAAGTGCACTCAAAACAGAAAGGAATTTTCACATTTTGGCAGAAACCCCGACTTGTTATTTTCAAAGTGTCTCCACTGAACAAGCAACAACCCCCCCCCCCCCAAAAAAAAAAACAACCCCAAAAAACAACCCAACAACAATAAACCAAAAAAAAAAACACCAAAAAAACGGAATTAAAAAACAACGGAAGCAAAAAAACAACAAAAAAACACAGCAAAAACAAATCAAAATGAACAATCAAAACGAAACAAACGAAGGAAGTTAACTCCACCTCTCCGCTCTAAAACAAAGCGACAACACATATTTAAAACAGCCTGCAAAAGTTCTATTGTGTACATGCATGTAACTTCACAAAGCTTCGACACCACGAGAACAACATCTATCTATCTACCTGTCTCCGGGTTTTTCTAGAGGTGGGCAAAATCCGGATAAATATCCGGATAATCGGATAATCCTCAATAAGACATTATCCGAATTCAGATTTTTTAACTCTCTTTCCTGACCCGTTTGCCGAAGTGGGTGGACCCATTTGTTGAAGTGATGAAAAGCCGTTTGTCAAAGTGGTTCTAACCCATTTGCCGAAGCGGTTCATATAATATTATTAGCCGAAGAGGTACACTAAAATATTATCCGGATTTTGCTGAAGCGACTCATTGCCCAGCTCTAGTTTTTCTCCCTCAGCTAAGACCCATTATTTATAGCATAAAACCAGAGACCGCATTTACAACTATAAAATCAAGACAGGTTAAAGAATGCGTCCTTTGCGATTGTTAAATTCAACTGTTGTGCTGTCATTGTTCTTACTATTGTTGTTTATTGTTGTAGCAAGAAGTAGATGTGGCGATGATGGTATTGGTGTTGCTGCTGTTTTCACTGATGTAGTTGTTGCCTCTGCTGTTATCGCAGTTGTTTCCGTTATCGTTGTCGTTTTTTGTTGTTGTAGCTGTTGTTTATGTAGTTAATGTTGTTGAGTTTTGCTAATTGAGCAACGTGTCCGTCCAATTTACTATGTTAAATACAAGTTTGGATATATGCATTAATTGTTCCTCGCTGAACCAAAGATTAAGAATGTTGATTTGGCTGGGCGCAGACAGGAGAATTTAAGGGGTCGTTGGCCAGGGTTCTACAAATCAGTTTGCTCATTAGCTTGGCAGGACTGTCATTTCATTTCGTCACAATCACAAGTCTTCAACATTTCAATATATATTATAATACTTTTTCTCTGTTTCTGGAATAACTTTCTGAAATTTCAGTGGTCTTCAGTTCTTTTTTGTATGAGAAAATTGTTTATCTGTTATTGTTAACATTATACGCCATTTCAGATACAATAAGGGTCGTTTTAGGGCATGACAATCTGACCAAACGTCAAGACCCAAGCTGGGAGGGACGACGAGGACATTAAAACTTCAGACGAAACCCAACAGACAGGACACGTTCCGAAGCAAAACTGCGCAACAGACGATAGAATGCACAAAAATTAAATCTGGGAACGCTTGAAATATTCTTATAGCCGTCATAGTTGCGGTGGGCCCTATCTGGGCATCCACTATCACCCTTTGGCAGTCAGATTCAGTTACTAAAATGAAACGCCATTAGCAGCGAGGGGAAGGAGAAGATGTTTGGGTAGGTTGCGTCACAACTACATTCCATTGACATGGTATCAAACTGCAATCTGAGAGGGAATACGTTTCGCTCGGCACTGTTTCCGAACATTCCTCCACCAACGTTTTACGGTTGTTTGGAGGCTTTTTGCGACACGGGGGTTTCCACTCAGGGCGTGCTGAAATGAGGACGAACGTCACGACAAGACAAGACGAATCTCACTGACAACGACAACGACAACGACAACGACGACGAACTACTATTACGAACACTAAGCTACGTCTAGTTGCTTGCCGACTGTACCCGAGGCCGAGGATCACAAGCAAAGTGTGACGCCACGCCGCTCTCTCTCTCTCTCTCT